TTGTGGGTGTTTGATAATTTATTAAGTTTTTCCCTATTACTGAAACTTTTCAGTTTTTTTCTGTATTTTCATTATTGTAATGTGCAGTGAACATCATTTTATATAAATCTTAATAAGGACATCTTTAAATTGTTTCCTAGTGGTGCAGTCCTAGAAGTAAACTTACCAGATCAAAGGTTACAGATATTTTTAAGGTTCTTGAAATATTTTTCCAGAGTGCTTCCCAGAATGATTGTACCAATTTGGAGCCCCACTGGCAGTACCTGAGACTGTCTCTTTCCCTGCAGCCACTAAAGTTTGGGAACTATGTGTATTTTAAAGCTTGACAGTTTTATAGGTCAAAAATTATCATATTGTATCTTTCATAACTTTATCAGCAATGAATAAATGAATTAGAGTCTGTCTCTATTCTTATGCAAGAACCAACTTAATTTTTAAAGATTAATATCTGGTAGGGATAGTCTCCTATCATTATTCCTCACTTATTAAAATTTACTCACCCTTCCTGACAAATCAACTTTGCAATCAATTTGTCAAATTAAAAAAAAAAAGTATTACATCAGACTTTGTAGAATTGAATCCATTAAAAATGTGGGAAAAACTGAGATCTTCACAATATTTGCTTTTCCCATCAAAGAACATTTTTTGCCTCTATTTTCATATCTCCTTTTTAGGATTTTTTGTAGTTTTCCTGATCCAGAACCTGTACATTTATAATTAATTGTATCCTTCATTAATCGCTCTATTCCCTAAATTTTTGCAGTACTTATATTCAGAGTTGTAGGCCACAGCCCTTGATTATATGCTGTGCTGCCTTGTTCCCTAATTACTTGTATTTTCATCTTGTTTTCAACAACTTCTTAGTTGTTCTCCTTCTAAGAGGAGGAGCTATTAAATAGAACTTTGATCCTTTCTGAGCTCTGCACAGTTCCTAGCAGAGCGGAGCACTCAGCCCACCCGGGCTGACTGTTGCTGCCAGACAAGGAGAGCATGGCTGGAGCTGTGGCCCCCACTTCTGCTTTGTCTTCCTGAAACTTAGCTTGTTGTACTGGAGTATTCTTTTTGGAAAGTGGATTGTGAGGAATAACTCAGATTGGGAGCTTCTTGATAGGGTCTGTCCCCCTCTCTGTGCATCTTGGTGTTCAATGACGTGTTGTTGTGTTTACAGGCAAACTGGCATAGAACACACGTCTTCCCCGCCAGCTCCAACCTCACGCAGCAGGTTACCCCCAATAGGCTCAGACACCGGGGAGCAGAACACGGCAGTTCCTGGATCCCGCCCTGTTTCTGTAAGACAGATTCCATTATACTTAAGTGCACCATTTAGACAGTCTGTTGGAAAACAACAGAGCAAAAATAATCTTGACACTTCCAAGCAAAATCAGTAACATAAGAGAATAATCTGATTAGCTGTTTTCAAAATGTCTCCATAATCTGCTTGCAGAAAGTAAATGCCTTGTGAGAATTTATAGAGGGTGAAAGCGTTCCTTCACCATTTTGGGAAATAAAAACACGGCATGAACTAAATCAGAAAGTCCAGGTGTCAAAGAAATATCTGATACTCAGGATGGTATAGGGAAGAAAAGAGCATGAGGTTAGGTCAGGGCGGGAGACAGGCAGGTCCGTGTTTGGGTCCTGCCACTCAAATTTTCTATATGACTTGGTACAAGTCACTGTAATCTCCCTGAGCCTTAGGGAGGCTCCCCTATAAAAGGGGAATAATGATTCCTACCCCCCAAAAATTTGTATAAGGATTAAACGAACTCTTATATGTTACATAATGCCTGGC